TTTCCAAAAAAAAGTAGAAAAAAATTCGCAAAAAAAGAAAGAATTTTCAAAAGCGTCTCAAAAAAAACCCTATACCCTGCATTTTCAAAAAACCCTTTTTGATCAAACAGATGTTCTAGGTATACAAGCCACGCAAGGAGCTTGAGTTTTAAAAAGTAAGCAATGGAACGAAACTTACCGAAGCGAAAACAAGGCCGACAACCTTTGAGCAGACACCAGTTGAACCGAAAAAAAAACTGATTTAAGTTTCAACTCTCCACTGAAACTACCCTGTAGTAACTAGTACCTACACAGTCGCTCCTAAATTTGAGCATGTGAGCTGCATAGCAGTATCATAAGAGAGTCAACTGATTTTGTTGAATTAGTTGTTAACCCGAAAATTAACCCGAAAAAAGTCTACATTCCGATTTGATAACTCTTGATAATTCTTTTGTGTCGAGAAAAACTGGTCTAATTTTTGATCTAATTGCGAGCTATTAAGGTGAGCGTGCAGGCTTAATTAAGCCGTGAAATTTAAAATTTATTGGAGTGAAGTGAGTAGTTGGAACTTTTTTGGCACTGTTAGGAATCCTAAACTTAAACAAATTCAAAAAAATTCGGCTTATAAACTTTCAAGTTTTTAAATTTTTGAAAGAACTTTTGTTCTTATTTCTAGTAATTTTTAAACAAAAACTGTTTTCGATTTGGCCTTTTCTACTATGACAGTCGAATATGCGTAATTTATGTTTTTTCGTTGATATCTTTTTTATCGCACCACAGAAAAAAAACAGCACTATTTTGAAGAAAAAGAATGTATTTCTTTAGACTGTGGTCAGAATATTCTGTGCTATTTGCACAGTAACCGGCTATCCTTGTTTACTTTTGCTATCACAGGGCGTAGATTATTGTCCTTTTAATGATTGCAATTGAAAAACCAGCTTCAAACACAGCAGCATGGCTGCTCTTCTTAAACAGGAAAGCAAAAAACAGCTAAATCAGCAAAAAGCCTAAAAAATACTGAAATATATCTCGAAGGAAAATCAACGTCAAAATTTTCAAATAGATGAAAAAAGAACTCGAATCTAAAACAGAAATCATTTCCACCAATAAGTTTGCCTCATACTTCCGCATTATTCGCAGAAACCGAATTAATAAATTGCCAGCTTTCACAAATCCAATATATTACGAAAAATGATCGCAGGTCAAAAACTTTCAAAAAAGGGGACTGAAGGTATAAGCGTGTGATCGCAAGTTATTTTTTTGTAATATAAAATGGAAGCCAGACAAAACCAGACCACCAAAAAAAAGGCAAAAACAGTTGAAAAATGCCAATTAATGCACTAAGAAAACATAAAAAAAGGTTTTGAAATAACTCCACTTCCAAATTTGACAACAAAAATACATGCTTCTCTAATCTTCATAATCTCTTCGAATGTCAAGACCACATCCTGATTGACACTTTTTGATCAAACTAACTCAATGAAAAATTGGATCAATTTGCAAAATTTTTATTTCGCTAAGAAACAAATGTTTACACAGATGCGAAGCTGCGCTTCACAAGCACTGGCGCGAAAATAACCCTATAAAGTGAAATAAAAAATAGAAATAAGCCTCAAATTATTAAAACTTTTGCTGCACAACGGATTAGAATCAGCGACCTAAAGATTAGAAGTCTCACATCCTTCCCACTAGGCCACGGACGCTTATCGACGGAGAGACACCAGCCACAAATGAATCAGAGAACAGATGCTATGAAACTTTCAAGGCTGCAGCTCAAGCTCACTTGTGTATAAACTCACTAGCCAAAAGAAGCCGTTCACGTTTTTCATGAACTAAATACTTTTGCTAGAGGAAAATGTCTTCCTTTTAACAAAGGAACCGAACTAAAATAATCAAACCATAGATAATCTACGAAAATTAGATAATCCACGAAAATTAGCTGATCCACAAAAAAATCTAATTTGAGCTTGAACATATTTTTTTCTAAATTTTCTGAAAAAAATTGAAAAAACTAACAAAAAAATCGTCACGATCCATGCCACTACGTTTATTGACATATGAAAAAATTTGCTTAAACAAATTATGGGCATTTTATAAACTAGCACGACCTATGTAAGAGACAACTTAGTAAGACCATCGACACATAACAAGGGTTCGTTTTAAACACAAAAATACGGCATTAAAACTAACGCATCTGAAGATGTTACAATGCATAAAAACACAAAAAAAAACTCAACTCTTTCAAACAATTAAGCGCTGCTAAAAAGTCATGCTTTTTAACGTTAAAAATGAAAGTATCTGGAACCATCGGAAGCGATTCCGCTACCAACAGGAATGGCGCACATTAATAGCAAGTTATCAGAAGCCTTCATAATGGCAATTGCTCGCATAAAAAATTCAGGAAGCAACAAAAAAAAGCACCTGACTACGGATTGATTCAAATCGATCAAAATTTAACCAGAGCCTCAGGCGATTCCTCTTAATACTTTATTTAAGGAGGAAATCTTGGATCGTTTCATTTTTGCATGCTTCTCTAATCTTCATAATCTCTTCGAATGTCAAGACCACATCCTGATTGACACTTTTTGATCAAACTAACTCAATGAAAAATTGGATCAATTTGCAAAATTTTTATTTCGCTAAGAAACAAATGTTTACACAGATGCGAAGCTGCGCTTCACAAGTACTGGCGCGAAAATAACCCTATAAAGTGAAATAAAAAATAGAAATAAGCCTCAAATTATTAAAACTTTTGCTGCACAACGGATTAGAATCAGCGACCTAAAGATTAGAAGTCTCACATCCTTCCCACTAGGCCACGGACGCTTATCGACGTAGAGACACCAGCCACAAATGAATCAGAGAACAGATGCTATGAAATTTTCAAGGCTGCAGCTCAAGCTCGCTTGTGTATAAACTCACTAGCCAAAAGAAGCCGTTCACGTTTTTCATGAACTAAATACTTTTGCTAGAGGAAAATGTCTTCCTTTCAACAAAGGAACCGAACTAAAATAATCAAACCATAGATAATCTACGAAAATTAGATAATCCACGAAAATTAGCTGATCCACAAAAAACCTAATTTGAGCTTGAACATATTTTTTTCTAAATTTTCTGAAAAAAAATGAAAAAACTAACAAAAAATCGTCACGATCCATGCCACTACGTTTATTGACATATGAAAAAATTTGCTTAAACAAATTATGGGCTTTTTATAAACTAGCACGACCTATGTAAGAGAAAACTTAGTAAGACCATCGACACATAACAAGGGTTCGTTTTAAACACAAAAATCCGGCATTAAAACTAACGCATCTGAAGATGTTGCAATGCATAAAAACACAAAAAAAACTCAACTCTTTCAAACAATTAAGCGCTGCTAAAAAGTCATGCTTTTTGACGTTAAAAATGAAAGTATCTGGAACCATCGGAAGCGATTCCGCTACCAACAGGAATGGCGCACATTACTAGCAAGTTATCAGAAGCCTTCATAATGGCAATTGCTCGCATAAAAAATTCAGGAAGCAACAAAAAAAAGCACCTGACTACGGATTGATTCAAATCGATCAAAATTTAACCAGAGCCGCAGGCGATTCCTCTTAATACTTTATCTAAGGAGGAAATCTTGGATCGTTTCATTTTTAACCCTCAAAAACGTTCAAACGTTATCATTATATTTCTTCTATGCCTGCTGCTATTTAACACAGAAGCCATGCGGAGCTCCGCATCACTAGCGATACAAAAATGATCGACTATTACTACTTGTAGATGAAACATCGAATCGAAAAATTTCTATTTGAGAAAGAATTTTTCCAAAAAAAATCCGGTATCTTGGAACTAATTACCTGCACCTTTGATCATACAACACGTAGATATCATGACAAACTCACCGACAGAAATCGTGATACAGCCGCAGAAAAAGCGATCAATCAAAAGGTTTCTTTCTTTGTCTGATTTTGAAATGAATAAAAACTCCTTTCAAAAAACATGCCAAGAAAACAAGGCTAACTAAGCATCGAAACAAAACTTACACAGTGAAAACAAAGCGGACCATTCGTGGGCGGACACGTTGCGCCGAAAAAAAAACTTTTTTTTATAAGAACTCCTCCTCCAAAAACATTAAGATAAACGACTCAAAAAGAGTCCTCTAAGCCAAAATTTTTTAAACCAAAACATTTTTAACCAAGTTAGAAAACAAAGAGCAAATAAAAACAAGGATATCCTGTTACTCTGCAAGTAGCAGCGAATGTTCCGACCAATAGTCTTTAAAAACCTTTTCACAGTCTTTTTTTTCAAATTAAGGGTGTGATTAAAGGATCTGACGTAAGACTTTAATTCAGGCATATGCGACAATCGTAGTAAAATAGGATTACCAAGCTGGCATTAAAAATCTCCGAAAACTAATTTTACTCGACTTTCAATAAAATTTAGCATAATTAGGCTATTGTAAACGGCTTCAATTCAGCATAAATAAGCGTGCTCACTCGCTGTACTTTAGACGAAAAATCAAACTTTTCAAACCGGTTTTTCTGGAAACTGGGGAAAAAAAATTCTGGAAACTGGTCGGTTGAATCATGACTGAAAGTGCTTTCAAATGTTAAATCACTCAACTCTCTCCGATGATTATTTACGGTAGCTGATTTTGCTTGGAAAAACTCAAAACACACATTTTCAGTTAGCCGGAACATCAAAAAAATTTATATACGGTAATCGGAGTTGGTAAATTTACAATTAACAAAAAAACTCAAATTCGAACGGGCATTTGAAATTTTTTAATGCTTAAAAGTTGACTGTTGAATTCCATTACGGCCATCTTGTGAACAAAATTGTTGACGGGAAAAAAGTCTACAATCCGATTGCAACACTCTTGCTTATTGCAAGAGTAAAGAGCATTGAAAAGGCTATAACTGTTCCGTCTCTACGATTAGAATGGATAAACATGGCACATTGAAAACTATTTAAAAATCGGAATCTTCAGGCGTTTTAGATGCAGTCAGAAACACAACAAACAGATTGTAGAAAACTTGGTTGACCATCGGTTATTTGAATTTCCATTTTCATCTATGCAATAAACAAAAAATAAATAGAAAGTCTGAAACGAAAAAAGTGTCATCATCATCAACGTTTTCTGTTTTTCTTAAACAAAGACACTGGTTTGGCGGAAATTGAGGAATCTGTATTTGTTTCAGCTTGCGAATCATTTGTTTGCTTTGGATCGTAACTGATATTTCGCTCAACTATTTTATCTTCTACAGCTTTTATAGTCGGACTAGTTTTCTGAACAAACTCTGTTTGTGGCTCATGAGGGCTTCCAATTTTGAGTTCCGACGACGCCGACGCCAAAACTGACTTTTCTTCACCTGAAACAAATTTTGCATCTATGTCCATGCCTACGGTTAAACGAAGACAGACATTGCGTCAGAAACTAGTTGTCAAAACAGTTATCCTTTTATATTTATTCAAATGCAGGCAGATGCGGATTTCAAACTTTCGCGAAAGGTCTATGTGCAGGGAAAAGGGTAGACTACTTTTTAAAAACAACCCTTTTAAAAATCAACCCCATTATACAATAATTTCTGCAAGAATTTCTGCAGGAAGAAAAATTGAAAAAAAAAACACTTTTTTCATTCGCTCGCTCAACAATCAAAGTTGATATATAATAGCGCCTCAAGAACAAACTAAGCTTGGTAGACCAAAATACGTATCGAATAATAGTTTTTCAGCAGAGGCACCCTTTGGGTTGCGAAAGGTTCGGTCTGCTGCGTAAAAGGTTTGAATTACTGGGTTGGGTTTGTCGAATTCCTCCTGAAATCTGGAGTTTTCATTACGACATTAGGCCCAAATTCAGAAGCATTCTCTATTTGTACTGCAATATCCAAATTTTAATTGAGAAAGGCAGTTTAAACAGACACAATATAGGTAAGACATACGTGTCGGAGATATTTCTCTGATGTCCACATCTTTCGAAAACGAAACGGATCTTTTTATTTTCTTTTTAACCAATTTGGGATCGACTGAATTACTTTCAATCGTTTTCGCTTCATCAAGTTCACTGTTTCGAATTTCTTCTTCATCGCTTTCTTCTTCTAGGTCATCTAAGCCAAAGAGTTCACATATCGTATACGTCTATCTCATGATGAATATTTCTATATAACGTCATTGATGGTTTATAGTATGCAATAAAATTCGACTTTTTTTTTTCGTTTCAGTTTGAGGCCAAGTTGTTCTTTGCACGAAATTTGGAAAGAGCAAAATTGAAATTTTTTATCTGAATTATATAAGGGAGCTATCTAATGAAAGTAGATGAACCAAATAGTAAACACTATATGCTATGCTTATATCGTAAAGAAAATATATGTTATGCTTGGTATACGACATGGTACACCATCTGAATCTGATTCTTCTCTGTCAATTTGGTCCTGCTGTTTCGATTCTTTCATTAACTTCTCAATGCGCGCCAAAATTGCACTTCTATCAACGGCACCAGAACATGCAACTGAGTCGAGATCAACGCTGCTGCTTGTTTCTGTTTCGGGTTTCTTTTCCTCAAACATCAGGTGATAAAATAAGTGATAAGATTCATAGTTATCTACGTTTAAATAAGAGAGGGGTTGTATTTAAGAGCTGTGTCGCATATATCATTAGCCTTATGCAGGAAAAATGTTTCGAAAACCTCAACGAAAAAGATTGAAATAAGACCGGCGCATAAAAATTAACTGAACAGAAATCAGAATTGTCGAAAAATAAGCGAACACTAAATTACAAAAAAAACAGGGGAAGCACGACAAAAAGCAGCTCTAAAAAGTGCAATAAGAAAAAGTAAAAATAAGCCTCGAATTAGTAAAACTTCGGCAGCGTCTCGGATTCGATCTGCGACCTTGAGATTTTTCTCACGCACTAACCACTCAGCCACGGAATCTTAATAAAACACAAACATCAGCCACAAATAAAGCAGAGAACAGATGTTATGAAATTTCCAATGCTTAAGATCGTGATTACAGCAGGTGCCACCAAATAAGTGAACACTTCTAATGCTCACTTTTATTTGCGAGTTAAGTTAGGAAAAAAAGAAGACTCGTACCAAAACACTACGCTTCGCAAGCTTGCTAGTGTAATAAAAAGTGTATCATTCATCAATGGAGTGATGTTAATTGTCGGTATATCTTTTACTCTTTTCACTTCTTGCTTTTCTTGTACGTTTTCTGATTGCAGCAGTCGAAACTTTGACATAAGCAGTAAAAAGGCGAACATTCCAAATATTTCAACCCTTCATTCTTCAAAATTGTATTTCACCCCAATGAAACGCTCCAACAAAATTACAGCAATTGAATTGCTGAAAAAAGGAAACGCAAATTCATGCTTTGCACACTACTTTTCAGCCGAACACAATCAATAAGATAGCTTCCTGAAATTCATCAATCCGTTACACCTGGCCAACGCCTAGAAAGTCCCGTAGGCTAGCTTTCATATAGAAGAGAAGAAACGCTCAAAAAGATCTCATAGCCATCATGCAAAATTAGCAATTGAAAAACGATACATTACAAATTGAACCAACGTTTCTAATTCGCGAGGTCAGTGATTAAGTTATCTAGGTTGTGTATTTACCAATGTCTGAACTACAGTCAAACTATCATTGATTTCCGTTTTTGCTCTTTGATGACCTTTGAGCGACTGCTCCTCGAACTCCTTCACTCCTTTCCGAATTCGTTCCTGCTTTTCCTTCAACGTTTCCACAAGTTCCTGTTTTTCATTTTCGTTCTTCACTTTCGAAACCCGGCCTTTTATTGCATTCGCGTCACTTGTACACACTTCGGCTTTATCTTCTAACCTCTCGAAAACCTCTCTCACGCCTTCCAAACTGTTTTCTTCGACAAACGTTTTTGTACTGAAATCAAATTTAAAAACTTCGCTAAGAACTCGAAAGACATGGAAATCTTATCAGAAATTTTGCATACTTTATCTTAAATTTAATTACTTTGGTTTAATACGAGCAGACTAATGCTTTGATGGACCGTAAACACAAAGTAAATGTTTATTTTCAAATTCTACCACACTCCAATGATTTATTCAAGCAGTGAAGCAATTGCATGAAAAACACATTCGTTAAAATACAAGAAAAACATCACAGTAAATGATTGCTGTGCAAGAGGCATAACAAAATCTGCTTTCATTGCAAAGAAAGAGCATCAGATTTCAAAAAATGTTTAGCTGGAGGACGCAACTTAGCTTCCTGAAACATATTCGATTAGCTTCAATATCGTACAAAACGAATTCTAAGAATTAGGTCTATTTACGTACATTGCATCTTTAGAAATATGATATATTGTCATTAAGATGTTTTTTAGATTGCTCAAAGGTCTAAATAGTTAAAATTTGGACAGTTAAACGATCCAAAAACCATTTATACCAAATAAAAAATTATGAATTGTTGAAATCTTCTCAAATCTAATGGCCTATAGCTTTGGAGTGCTCAAACAACTGCAAGCAGTTTTCTGAACAGCCGAAGAAAAATTTGGTAATTCAGAACACAAGATGCCGAAAATTTGCAATTTGGTAAACTCAATTTGCATTTGACGCATATTCTTTTCCTTTTTTGTATAAGCGATACCAATTAAAGAAAATTTCACAACTAAGTTTAGTTCACAACTAAGTTTAAATCGAAATTAAGTTTAATTCACAACTTAAAGATCATTCTGAACGCCAGTCAAATTTTCTGCAGATGACAGCATCATATAATTCAGATTTTTATACGATGGACAGAATAGATCAAAGAATAAAAGCAATAACCCTGCAATAAATTTGAAATAGAACTCACAAAATGCAAAGTAGCATCCATAAATATTTCGTGGGTGAAGTCAGAGAAGTTCCGCAGCCGTAAGAAATAACGGTAGTATATTACCCAAGCCCATCGTATCCTCTTCCAAACTGTCCTATGCCATTTCACCCTGTGTTTTAAATTGACCTTTGACATTTAACCCTTTTCTAACCTACCCTATGCCAATTTATCTTACATTCAATTGTGTTGCAATCAGTTTAAATCTTTGATGCAATAGTTCAGTATCGAACTAAAGTTTTTTAGTTTTGTAACCTGCACTTGTCAATTCATTTGAGGCCAAAAATTAGGGTTCAAAAAGTCGCAAATTCAAGCCAATTGATAAAAAGACGCAAATTAGCGCTTTGACCAAAGATAGTACGTTATCACAATTAACTTCATTAAACGCGTAATTTTCACAAACTTACAATAAACAATATTTCAATATTGTTTCAATCTGTCTATTCATTATTCAAAACTGCAACAAAAAATGAGCTACACGCATTTCTTTGGGTTTATCGTAAAGCAATCGTCCTACCCTTCTTACTGATGGCCTTGAATAATCCAAAAAGCACGAACCTGCCTGAAAACTTAAAAAAAAATTCAGATCATAGCCTTTTGACAGCGGCATCAAGGATGCTGAAAGGATACTCTATTCGGGCGACCGTGAAAACGGGCTTGCCACTGAGTTGAACCGAGAAACACCGCACAGTCAGAAGCCTTATACAATTTCACCAACGATATACAGTCCATATTAAACTGTCTGGTTTTCACACCCTCTCATCCCCTCCTGGTATTTACGCTTTGCCTTCTAATAAATGTGAGCATACGTACAAGAAGTTTCTCAACAATTTGTCACCACGTTCGCAAAATGCCGAGCTCAACAAAACCCTATTCGATATTGAGCGTGCTGCTTTCCACAATTTCTCCCCCCTTTACCCCTGAGAAAAGCTTCAAGGATGTTACTCTCATCTTACCCAGACTTCAACAGCAAAATCAATGAAGTCGACTTCAAACGATTACACGAACACAATCTTCAGCTCAATTTAGCACTACTACTCATCAATTTAATAATTCTTTATCAATTGACATAGTTACCGTTGTAATTCAGCGAGTCATTGAAAAACTTGCGAGAATTACTGATCCCTTTGATCTAGATGGGACTTTAGCAGTAAGCTGGATGAAGTTGTCTCCTAATTTTAAAGAAACTACATAAAAGGAGAGACAAGTGGTCGCAATAACCAAAATCTATTGCTACGTAGTTAAACCACTAAAAAGAAGCCGCAAGTAGACTTGTAAGAACAACAAATGTAGAAGGATGACATCTTGGTGTTACTGCCCTGTTTGCAGCCATCCTTTAATTTGAACGTTCCTGGGACAAGTCAAACTCGATGCAGCTCAATCTTAATTCAATTTTCTCAAAGCAAAGCCATGGGGGAAAATAGCAAAGCTCGTTTTGAGAAACCCCGGAAATGAACGAACGAAATACAAACATTGTATATAGGTTCATCAAAAGCTCAATCATAAAATATTGATATTATCTGTCAAAACTTCAAACAAATGTCTAAAAAACATATATTTCTACGGTTTCTCTCGTCCTAGAGCTCTGAGATTTTGGGTGAAAGAAGCCAATATCGAAACTTATTTTATTGTTTCCTCGCCCGCCAAAGTTGATCATTCGACCTTTTGATTGTGAAGCACATATATTATCCACTAAGCTATATCGACTTGGTGTTATACGACTTTTGCTCACTCAAGAATTATATGCACCGCATTTTGAATGCTAATGAATCAGATGTCTTTTTTCCTTGATCAGGCTTTGATCACATTTCAGCTTTAAACGATTTATTTTAAATTGCTTTGAAATTTTTAATCATATGCGGCAACTCTTATATGATCAAAGTTAATGGTTTTTTTTTGATATCTGGAAGGACTTGTTCTACGAAAAATTTTAAAGAAAAAGAACAATTTTCAACACAGACGCTAGGCTGAGCTCCGCACCACTTGCGATACAAAGCAAGAAAGCTGCAAAGTTGAAAAAAATTCAAAAAAAAACGAAAAAACTGGATCTATCAAAACGAATAAGGCTAGTTTTGAAACAAAAACAACCGAGGCAATAGAATCTGAAATTCGCATCACAAGAAAATTTAAAGAGCGGTAACAAAGCTTAAAATACCTTAGCAGAAAAAAAATCAGAGAAAAAGTTTGAGTCCACCTCAACCTCAAAACATAGAAATATATTCGCTCGTCAAATAAAATAATAAGAGGCGACTGCGCCTTCAAGATATCGGCCGAAACCAATAACGCCGAAAAAGCCAGAAACAACTCAAAAAATTGAGGACTAAAAAAGTTATTAAGTCCCCTTGCCCTCCTCAAAACACATACACATACGCACATACAAACTTTTTGCACTCGTCTAAGGACACCAATTGAGGCCATTAAGCCGATACAATAAAAGCCGAAAACTATCAATAGGAAAAATAGAAATCCGAAAAAACTTTGTTTGTGAAAAACTTGTATACTAATTTTTTAAATGATTTTTAGCTTTTTGAGGAGAGCATTAAAATTATGTTTCCCCTGAAACGATTCAAAATTAGTTCATTGAGCTGAATAAAACAAAAGCCGAAAAACAAATAAGAAAAAGTACGAAGTCAATTTTGGTAACACTACAAACAGCAGAAGTTAATAAAACTAATAGCAACTATAAATCAAATTGCGTACAGCAAACAAAAACAATTCTACAATGTGGCAACGAAGCCCACAAAACCTGACCGAACAAATAATAAGCCAAAAGCAGACCCCGTCAGATTCAAACCCAAGACCGTTGCTGTCCCAAGCGTATTCGTTACCTCCAGACCAAATCTGCGGGAGAAGCAAAAGAATTTGAAATCATTATAAATGGAACCTAAATTTACCATTTCTTTTCTTTTTCACACTAAAAAGATACAAACAACACAGCACAAGAAAAATCAGTGATATGGCAACTAAGCGAACAATCTTTGCGCTGAAATTACTTGAACCAAAAAAATGATTTTTTGATTTTTAAACATCTTTCAATTCCCCCTGGAAACTAGAATGAACAGCAATTGCTCTTGCAACTACAATGAAAGTTGCTCGCAGCAAAAAAAATCAGTTATGTGGCAACTAAGCCGCCAATCTCTAAGCAGAAACCAACTGAACCGGAAAGGTTCTTATGATAGGCCTCGAATTAGCAAAAAAACTCGGCTACGTGACGGAATCGAATCTGCGACCTAACAAATATGAGTCTCACGCACGGATGCTTAACATCCTTAAAAACTAGCCACCAAAAACGCAACTACATCTAATATTAAATTTCGAATTCGACGCAGCAAAAGTAGCATGAAAGCCAAAACGATACAATGTTGCATGTAATGAATTGGAAAGCATAAAGCCAAATTATGGATAAATTATGCATTTCAAAAGAAAAATTGCGATACATTGAGTTAGAAAAAAATTGTGAAATCGAGCTTTTTATCAATGTACTGCTGTTTGAAACAATGCGAGAATAACATTGCGCAACAACATTGGGAGAACACGACCAAAAAACAGCTCTATCAAGTGAAAAAAGAAAACGTAGAATTAAGTCTCGAATTAACAAAAAACTCGGCTACGTGTAGGTTTCGAATCTGCGACCTAGCAATTTTGTCTCACGCATGTACCACTCAGCCACGGATGCCTAAAATCCCAAAAAACTAGCCACTTATAACGAAGCTACATATGCTAATGAATTGCCAATTCGATGCCGCAATAGGGACTCCAAATACAAAAAGACACAATTTTGCATGTAAAAAATTGGAAAGCATACAGCCAACCTTTGTATAAATTATGCATTTTAAAAAAATTTCGACTTAGGTTGGAAAAAAAATAAGGTTCGTACTAATGCACTCGCTTCGCCAGTTAATTGACGGTTTGCATCCGAAATCAGTAAGTCTGCGTCAGCTGTCGAAAAAATTTAGAGCACTTTTTAGTAAGCTTTAAACCCATTTTGTTTTTATTGTGACACAGGTTCAGGAAGCTTTGAGTCTATCTGTAAATGTTTAGATCAAAGACCACTTGAAAGCTTCGGTTTTCAGATGTTCTAAAACGTGTTTGTTCAACAAAAGATCGCATTCTCTGTAAAAGAAAGTCACTTGAGATCTCTTATGGGTTTTCAAGAAAGCCACTTAAGTATCTTCTTTAGTCTACCGGTGATTCAACTATGGAGCAAGAAAACCAACCTAAACCTCGGCACATGTCGGAAATGCAGTTTTTTTTGGGACCACCCTCGAACGCAGAAGTGAAATGGACGTTGATTATGATGATAACTCAGGATAACGACTTAGTATCTGGGCCCCATTAACTATCTCACGAATGGTTTTTGGCCCAGTCCGAGACATCATTTAAATGAGCTAAAAACAAAACTCTAAATAATAGTAAAAGATTCTTTCTTCAAACCAAAGAAGTTGGTTACCATAAAACTCGAGGTACCATAAAATGGTACTTTCTGAAAACTAATTTGTCGACTTCTACCATTTTCAAAGAAGTTTACCAAAAATTGGGAAAAGTATCTTGAGACCGATAATTTGAAGAAACTAAGCCGCGAAAAACAAGAATATAGCGTTATCTGGAATAACTAAAACATGACTGCCCAAACAGGCTAACTTTTCAGAGCCTCAAAACGTACAGATCAGTATGATATTACTCTGTTTATCTGTTGCAAACATTATCCTGACTAACTGAAAAACTAGGTTTTGAAGCTTCGACAATTATTTTTCCGGCGCCCGAAGTTCGAAACAAATATGGAATTTGCGAAAACAAAAATTTGTCTTCAAATTTTTGTTGTCCTAATCCATTTTGTGAATACAGCCACCTGAAGGCATTATCATTATTTTTAAGCTTACGTATATTCCCTCTTCCCTCTATCAATAAACAAAAAACGACATCAATTTGGGGAAAACCAAAATTAACACAAGAGCGAAGCTGCGCTTCGCAAACAATAGCGAGAAAACGACAAAAAAGCAGCTCTAAAGTGAAATAAGAAAAAGTAGAATTATAAAAAGCATAAAGACAAAAATTTCTAAAAAAAATTCTCTATTTTAGCAGAAATATTTCTTGCTTCGTTCTGAAAATTTTGTTCCTACGTCGCAAAAATAATTTTCGATGAAAATTTTACTTGATTGATACCAAGTAATAGTTAATTTATAAGTGAAATTTAAGACTAACTATTATAGCCCTATAGCAAGCCAGCTCGCTCGCTTTATTCGCTCGAAATTAGACGAAAAATCAATAGTTAAAATGCTATAATATGATAAATCACTGGACCAATTTGGATTATTATTTGTGGTACCTGATTTTGCGTGGAAAACAAAAAAAAAACAAAACACCCGAAAACAAAGTTCCTCCCTCCCATTTTCATCGGTCGAAATATGTTTTTTTTTTAAATAATATATTGTTTTCAAAAAAAATTGTGATCGGAACCTTCTGTGCTTCATCCACAGCAACGGTCTTCACTAGTTTGTTTTCAAAAGTTTCAAAACAATTTTCCAGGCTTCTTTAGCAAAGCCAAAATATACTAAATTTCAGAGAAAGTCCACGGAAACCCGAAAAAATAGTTTAAACAAGTACATTTTCTCACAAATATTTCTACGACTCAAAACAAAATGTTTGCCTTTAATCATTTTCACATCTTTAAAAAAAATCTTTTAATTAACCTTTGCACTTCGTTTTTCTGTAAGTTGATGGCCTGCTTTAGACTATGTGCCCTGTCGGCTATGAGAGACAATCTCTTGTCGGCAATTTGTGAGGCCTTAGCTGCAGTTGTCTCCACAAAGTAGCCATCACCCAGCAGAACTAACACTTCATTCGTGTGGATCAACTCTCCCGGCATGAAGGCAACCTGTACAACAGATATCCATGAAAGAGGAAATTCCTCGTGGCAGAAGGACCGACGAGCAGAAAAACATACCAGCGAACTAAAATTCAGTATGCAAAACTGTGAAAAATAAGAGTGAAACTCATGTCAATTTTGGGCAATTTAGATGTTTTTGATGGCTAAAACTGCTCATTCGGATTTTCCGCAACGAGAAGACCCTTCCTTTTAAAGTTTCGACTTATCTATTTTTTAGATTGTACATTCATTCAGCCAATTTTCACAATTTCAAATTACTTTCAGGAAAATTATCATAACATTACAATTCTAAAGTTTCTATCGATGACCTTGCCTTTAAAATTTAGTCCTTGTGAGTCAAAACCTTTCTAGCGAATGAAAAACTCGACATTTCAGAGCAAAACAATAGCTAGCCGCTTGTTCCATTTCTAGCACTTAAAACCGTTGAGATAACTCGTACAGTTTTTTTTAAAGAAAAAATGAAGAAATTAACAGATGTTCTTTGCAAATTTTAACTCTAAAACATATGCGAATAATACAAAACGTTCCGAATGCACCGAATAATCTTATCAGCAGATCAAAACTGGTTTGACTTTTGCAGACCTTATACCAGTGTTTTGTACACGTTATACGAAAAATTATACGAAAAACAAACCCTTATACGATTTAAGATTATACGGGAGATCAGATTCATACGATACATTCTACGATTATACGAAACCCATAATTGGCTACTATTTTTTTGAGAGAGAAAGATTTTTTGCTTGAGTACTGAAATATAATCGATATTAGAGACGGCTTAACTCCCAAATAAATAGTTTTTTGAGAGCAATGAGAGAATTTTTGCCGAAAAATATAATCGAGAATCAAAAATCTCAAAAGCTTCGAGCGGTTGCTGTAAATGAGTAAGGATTTTGATCTCCGGTTATATGGTTATAATTTTTTACACGAAACTCAAAAAATACAATATCACTTTATACGATCGTCGGATTATACGATTTTTGCATTATACGTCAATACACTGGCTTATACGTTTTAGATTAAATCACATCATATCAGATTTCCTTTTTATCCCTCCAGAATACCCCTTTAAAGGCAGTTAAAATGTGAGATGGCTTTGACTGACACTAGTCGTGTTTAATCCATTTACATTTTCTGTGAACTAATTGGTGACTCCTGAAACATTTAAAGAAATTGATTGACCTTCGAAAGCGGCACCATTGTAGGACATCTGAGCTTGCCAGACACCTCTTTCAATCTGTCTTTGACTGAACTGTACTCGGCCCTCCTCTGTTCCAGCTTTTCAAGGTCACATTCGAGTTGTCGTAGAGCATCGCTCTGTTTATCCACCAGTCGAGAAAAATCTTCCAAATTCACGTCATCAGTATCGTAGTCGTGATATTGCTTTGAAACCATAGTAACATCATTAAGAAAGAGTATCTCAATTAGACCATTATGAAGCCTGAAAAGTTTGATCAACTTAATTAGGCTCCACTTTTAAGCCGATTGCACGATTTTGTTTTTGAAGCTTGCAATTTTCTTTTAATTATCTGCAAAAGGAAACCCACCCATGAAAACAAGATTGGATTGAAAGTTATGGAGCTAACGTGGACATACTTTGAACAAAAACTAGTCTTTTAGTCTCAATTAAGAGTCAATTATGTCAAAAAAAGACTCTCCCAAGATGTTACAAATGCAAAGTCTAATTTAACACGAAATACACACTCCGACTATTCAAAACTGTCGATGAAAAAGATTACAATCAAAAGAGACAGCATTTAAGGATCAAAATACAATATAACTTTTTAAAAAAAAAAGTTAAGCCGGAAAAAACCACACTCTTTAAAATTGTGCGACACTCGCCAAACTCTTTGATAGACAAAAACAATCATTGCACAAAAAAACTCTGAAAGTTAAGAATTTTTTTCAAAACTAACGAATTTTTTTCGAACAGTTTTGACATATTCAAACAATACGCTGTGCCTTAACCATAAATCATTAATGAATAAAATATTGAAAAAAAGTGAGCATTAAGGGCGAAAAATTTGGTCGAAAAAAAAACATTACGTTGTAAATTTACAACTTTACGTTCAAAAAAAAACTTATCATTCTAGCCTTCATAAGAAAAACAAACAAGCTATGTAGCTGGCTTGTAAAAAAGCGGACACTAAATAAACCGAAAGCAACAAGGTCAAAAAAAATCTCATTAAAAAAAGTTTGAACTGCGAATATCTTGGAAAAACATTATATCATTCTACCCTATTATATATCATTCTGCACTTTATAAAAAATCTGCGAATTTATTGGAAAACACTTATAAGGACGCACAGTGGCAGTAATATATCAATGGAAGAAAATACGACGCACATTTTGCATGTATATGTCGTGTAATGCATGCATGCTGAAATCTGTGATTAAAGTTCTTTACGGGAAAAAGTTTAGTACAAACCTATCGCAAGTGTAAAAGAAGACGTGAAGGTCAAAGACACCAGTTTAATCTAGACAAGTAACTTGTCTAGAAAGAGCATAACAAGCAAAATGAAGCCAATTAGGCGTTTAACGAAAAACCTTCACAACTTATTTGCTCTCAAATCGGACGAAAATAAGACTAGCTGGGGAGGGTTCTCATGCTTGAAGGACCAAATGCTTGAAAAATGTCAACCAATCAAAATCGCTAAGCGTTTCTATTGGCTTAATGCCTTTCTCACAAAATCGAAGTCAATATTAACAGAAAATGTTTTAATTCAGTGGAAAATAATCAAAAATATTACAAATTGCGGGTTACAACCGCAATACTATTTAGATAATCAACAAGATTTATGAGGTGAAAATCATAAGAGTTTTTCAGTCTTGAAAACTCTTCTGCTTATTATCTAATCGGTCAATATTAACACTAATGACCTGGATTCATTTTCTTACTTTGAGATTTTTGCGATTTACTTTGAGATTTTGAATACTCAATTCTGATTGGCTGAAAGTAAGCTAAAATTAATTTCAAGCATTCGGTCCTTCAAGCATGAGGGACGCCACCAGATTAGCTGATGTATTACATAGTAGTTCATTATTCAGCTTATAATTTCCTTTTAATTGGGTGCCTGTTGCCTGCCTTCTGCTTTGTTTGCTTTACTGCCACTCATAATTGCCTATTAATATCACTGTCGGGATCATACCCGTCTCCTTTTCATTCACCTCTCTTTTCTTCAAGTTAAAGTCGTTTTTAGTGCATGGTGTGATTAGAAAACTATACAATACAAACGCATGAAAAAAAAGAATTAGGCATAGTGGACAATTGTCTTCAAAAATGAATTAAAAATTTTCAAACTTTTTTTTAACTAAGAAGAATAATTTTGAAGTTTCGTTAGAATAACTTTATTGCCAAAGGATTCCTTGAAAAAATTTTCAAATCTAGTTTCCGCTTTTAGTGAAATCAAGTTTTCTTAGCCTAAATAAAAGTTAAATTTTCATATAACGAAGATTACTCGATCGCTCTACTCGCTCGAAATTAGACTAAGACTCAAAAATAAGACGAAATTAGACAAAAACACAGCCGAATACCACGTTCCTCCCCATATTCAATGAAAAGAACAAAAACAAATCGAACACAACAGGTATTCAAAATGCAGTGCTCAGATTATGTCAGTTTGTTTTGACAGGTATGTTAAGTCCTGCGATAAAAACGTTAAAAGGGAAAAAGCCAGGTCTGCTGATCGAAAGGGGTAAAAATTCCTACCTAAAATTGCATTGGAAGACCGCAGTACCTTTAAAAACCTACAGAACATCAAAAAAAAAACAAATCAATCGCGCCCAAATCTGAAGACACCTAACACAAAATGTAAAACCATGAAACTGAACTTCTCTCTTAGTTTTATCGGAATTACAAAAACTTTTGTTCCACAATCTATCTCGCTCTAGTTTAAATTACTGATTTAGACGAAAAATTTGTTCCTAACTTTGAGTCTTAAGTAAGCAAGTTCGGGTAAATCTGTTCCGAGTGTCTTGTTTTTCAAAGGCAGCTTTCTTCTACTACTTGCTACTAGCTTTTCAGGTTACTAGTTCTTTGAAAAAGGAAACAATCTTTTGGGCAAAGACAGCCACGAGGAGTTGTTTTCAGACACTTGTGAGTTTGATTTTGAGCTGTTATCGTGTATCTTTGACCTTACTGGCGCTGATGGCCGTGAAGATGACTTCGCTTCATTCGTTACACTCATTGTACTTCTCGATTCCACTCCCAATTGCATTTTGACAGCTGAAAACGGTTTTATGTCCACTATTTTTGGAGCCCGCTGCAATTTTGAGGTCGGTGCTTCTGACTTGACCTTTACATCAATGTTAGAAGCAACGACGGGGTCCATGATATCTGACTTGAGAGGCTGATCTATTCGTGGCGCATTATCTTCAGACAGCAGCTCTGTAAGCTCAATTATTTCATTCGCCTCCAGTTTTTCATCCTCTAAACTTCCAACAGTAGAATTGTCCGTTTCTTTTCCAAATTTTGGCTCTAGATCGGAACCTACACAAAAAGTTCCTTGATTCTGACCGAACAATTCATCAACGTCAAATCCTAGACTGTCAAATTCTATTTCATCATTTGCTTCTGAATCCAACCACCTTGAACTGCCAACTCCTTTTATGTAGATATGTTCATAAGCATCGTCGTTATCATCCTTCAAAGTTTCACAGTTGACACATTTTTCCTTTCCCTCGATTGTCGCCTTTGCTTCTTCGGCTATTCGTATCAGATCATCAAGCGGATCTAGAAAACGTAACATTTTTTCATCTTCCGCCAGTATTTGGTTATACGTCATTCCGCCCTCGCAGATTTCCTCTTGGTTTATTTCTTCTATAAGCTTCAAATTCTTGCCAATCCGCTGAAGCACAGCTTCTAACTCAGCCGGATCTACCCGAAGTTCCTCATCTTCCACAATCTGCAGCGTGGCTTCCAGTTTCCGAGCCCAGCCATCTTCTGCTATTGTTATGTCATACGCACTAAGGCCTGTATTCGCAATTTCCTCCACTGGGTCAGATTTTTCTATCACATCACCTTCAATGCTCTCATGATTTCTGTTCCAACTTTCTATTTCATTAGCGACCATCATCTCCTCGACAGACAAGGATTGTGCCTTCTTTTGCATGTAAGGAGAAAATGCTGATTGCAGACCAGGTATTGAAACATCTGCACTATTCTGATCGAGGACCAATTTAGACATTGTACATTCCTGTGGTGCTTCCCTCGCAGTCTTGGAAGTACTTGGCACTAACTCAACCGGCATCGGTATCTGTAACTTCGATGACGACGGCATCGATTTCTCAGACTCGAAGTTTTTCAAAAAAGGACTCTGAGGTAACTTGAAAGGATCGTTGAGCTTCAATTTTTGAGCGACTGCAGTAGACGATTGATCAATTCTAACTTTGTTTTCCTGTACAAAAGGAGCGTCCAACCCACTTCCATTATCGGTAGAATCTAACTTTCTGAAATTATTCGGCTGGCTTGAAAACCCCGCATTTGAATTAGACCTTGTCTCGAGCTTTCCAGGGGCCTGGGAAACTCCAGCGAAACCACTGATTCTGAATGGTTGACGAGTCGTCGGAGTTGCCTGAGCATCATTTGACCTAGCCAGAACCGATATCTTGCAATGATCAGCTCCACCAAAAATTGAAGACGACGGATTATCACCATCTCTTTTCTTACCAAATTTCTGACAAAAACTCTCTAAATATCTTTCATCTGTCAAAAGCATTTCCTTCACTACGTCGAAATCCAACTTAGAAGTTTCACAAATTTCTATCAAGTCGATTCCGTATTTTGCTAATTTGACTTTCAGCAATCGGCCTTCTCTGAGTTCAGACTTTTGGACTCCCGAATTTTTAAAACCAGCTGACATGCCTCTTAAAAACTTGATAAACATGAGAATTTTGCCTGCAACTTAGACAAAAGTAACACTGTAAGTGTCTCTTCTGACATATTGACAGTAAATTAAAATCGAAAGGGTATAGCAAATAAAAATGAGACATTTTCTGCAGACGGGCTCATATCATGGTCATAAAAAATTCCTTACAACAAAAATGTGCGATTTCAGACAATTTCTATACCAGAATTTAAACTCGGAAAATCAACCTCTCGTTGAAAACCTGATTGTTTTTGGATATACTGTACACATGTCCATCCCCAGAAGCACGTGAAAAAAATCTACGATTTCTAAGATACACCAAATAGTGAAACTATTGGAGAACATCTTTGCAAATTAAAACAGAGGAAGCGGAGCTTCGTGCCACTTGCGATAAAACGCAAACATAAAAACTGAAAAAACTGGGTGAATCAAAATTACTACGTCCTGTTAGAAGAGTATATTAAAAATTTCAAAAATTGGACTTGGCTAGAAAAAAAAATTAGTTTTTTTTTCTCTACTAATATAAGTGAGCAGAGTAGAGTAGGGGAGTGGGCGATTCTTAATGGTTTCT